TTTTTTTTTTTTCCCGAGACAGAGTCTCACTGTCATCCTGGGTAGAGAGCCACGAAGTCATAGCTCAGCAACTTCAAACCCTTGGGCTTGGCTCAGTGCCTGTAGCACAGTGGTTACAGTGCCAGTCACATACACTGAGGTTGGTGGGTTCAAACTCAGCCTGGGCCAGCTAAACAATAACAACAACAAAAATAGCCAGGCGTCGTGGCAGGCACCTGTAGTCTTAGCTACTTGGGAGGCTGAGGCTAGAGAATCACTTAAGCTCAAGAGCTGGAGGTTGCTGTGAGCTATGATGCCATAGCTCTCTATTGAGAGTGACATGGTAAGACTCTGTCTCAAAAAACAAACAACAACAATAAAACCCCCCCCCAAAAAACCCTTGGGCTTGAGCAATCCTCTTGTCTCAGCCTCCCAGTAGCTGGGACTACAGGTGTGGGACACTATGCCCAGCTAGTTTTTCTACTTTTAGTAGAGATGGGGGTCTTGCTTTGCTCAGGCTGGTCTTGAACTCCTGACCTTAGGCAATCTCTTTTCCTGGGCCTCCCAAAGTGCTAGGATTATAGGTGTGAGCCACTGTGCCCAGCCTAAACAATATCAATTTCAGGAACCCCCCCCTATAATGTGCTATAGAAATACTATCACTGATTTTTAAATTTCTCTAGTTTTTGGGTTGCTTTAGATCTAAGCAACAATAATTTTATAAACTTTAAAAATGGGCCCGCAAGTTATTTTTAGGACTCCTCATATGAAAAGCCATTGCTATTTTCCAAAAGGTTTCCATCAGTTTTAATCCTGCAATCGCATATCCTTTAATTCACAGCCTTGCCAGCAGTGCTATCAACTACCTTTTCTCTGCTCATCTAGTAGGCATAATAACTCAAGCATGCTATAAGCTTAAATTCACATTTTTTCCCTATAATTACTCTGTGCAAACATTTTTGATGTGTTTAGAGTCTGTATTGTTTTATTGGGAACATCTGTTCATATCCTTCATCAGTTTATCCACTAGTTTACTTATAAAAGTGAATGAGCAATTGAATTGATTCTACTGGACACTGGTTTCTGTTTAAAAATTTGTAATTCATGAATAGTCTGGAATTAATTCTGGTGAAAGATGTGGCTAATGACATCATGCCCAAATTGCTGTATAGTTATACTAGCACCATGATTAAATGTTTTTCCTTGCTGATTCATTTTGAATTGTCACTTAATTGATTAAAGTAAGTTAAAAAATTTTTTCATCAAGAGTGGGCATACCTTATGTTGAGAGAATTTTCTATTTCTGTGAGTTTGCTGCATATAGTAGAACTGTTTTTTGGGGGAAGTGAGTACAAATAGATTTTAGTTAATGTTAATGTAATGGAAAAAGCACTGGATTAAATATGAGAAGACTTGCATTCTAGACCTAAATCTGCCTCAAACTTAATATACTTAGTACTAGTCTCTTAACATCCCTATGGTCAATTTTCTTTCCTTTCTGTTTTTTTTTTTTTTTTTTTTTTTTGAGACAGAGTCATACTCTGACGCCCTGGATAGAGTGCCGTGGCATAGTGGCTCACAGCAACCTCAAACGATCCTCTTGCCTCAGCCTCCCTAGGAGCTGGGACTACAGGCGCCTGTCACAACATGGCTATTTTTTTTTTTTTGAGAGAGAGACAGGGTCTCCATCTTGCTCAGGCTAGTCTCCCAACTTGTGAGCTCAGGCAATCCACCCACCTCAGCCTCCCAGAGTGCTAGGATTACAGGCATGAGCCACTGCACTTGGCCTCCCTTTGGTCAATTTTTTCTTTTCTTTTTTATTTGAGACAGAGTCACAAGCTGTGGCCCTGGGTAGAGTGCCATGGCATCACAGCCCACAGCGACCTCAAACTCTTGGGCTCAAGTGATTTTCTTGCCGCAGACTCTCAAGTAGCTGGGACTACAGGCACCCACCGCAATGCCCAGCTATTTTTGGTTGCAGTTGTCATTGCTGCTGAGCAGACCCGGGCAGGGTTCAAACCTGCCACACTAGGTGTATGTGGCCGGCACCCTTGCCCACTGAGCTGCAAGCACCTCCTGGTCAATTTTTTCATCTGCTCTATCTCCTCTTTGCTTCAGTGATTCTCCATCTCACTCAGGGTGGAGGGCAATGTCCTGTCCTCATAAGTACCAACATGGTCCAGCAGGTATCCTCCCCGCCCCCTCCAAATTCTTGACAACTTTAGTCCAGCTCACTGGGCTCCAGCCACACTAACTTGAGAAATACTTGGCCTCAGGGCCTCTGCACTTGTAGGTTCTCTGCCTGTTAAGTCCTCTCAATATCCACAATGCCCTCCATCCACCTTCAAGTCTTCTTCACTCAAAAGTCGTTTTCTCAGTCAGACTTTCACCGAAATGGCACCAGTGTTTCTCCTCCCCCACCAGCCCTTATCACCAATATGACACTGAATTTACTTGTTTACTATTTCTCCTCTCTACTTGAATATTAGGTCTTCACTGCCATATCTACAGCATCTAAAAACAATAACTGGCACACAGTAGGCGTTTAGTTAATACATGTTGAATGAATAACCACATCTAAAATGAGGCTGTCACGCCAAATAGATTATCCGTCCCTAAGGTGAGACTGTGTTGCGCTTAGTCTAGATTCCTGGCATTATTGTCGCGAGAAGCTCAGAATTCACCTCAGGGTGCGAACTCACTTTGCCAGGATCCGCAGCGGCGGCCTCTGGTTCTCCCTCCTCATGGACCAGGTCGAACAGCTGGAAGCCAGAGTCTCCGGTGCCTTCTGGATTCCCCGACGCGTTCTCGGACTCCAGGCAGCTAGACGTGGTCCCAAAGGATCTGTGACTGGAGACCACTCGGTAGCGGCCCTCCTGCTGTATCTGCCTAGCAGAAGCGCGGAGATCGCGGCGGATACGCTGCTGGCTGCCGAGGGACGGGTGCAGAGTAGCCCGCAGAAGCGGCTGTATTGGCTCCTCCTGGGGGGCGGCAGAGAAGGGGGACCGGCGTAAGCAGGGGTTGGTGAGAGGGTCAGGGATGCAGTTTTATCCAGGCTGCAGCCTAAGATTCCCCTCCCCATCGGCTCCATCTTCGTCCAATACCTGGGAGCGCACGGTGGCCACCAACTGGAAGATGTTATTCTCCGCCGCTCTCTCAAGACCCTTTGGAGTCTCCTGGGTAGCCGAATCAGCCGCACTGCTCCGGAGGCGTTTACAGGCTAGCACAAGAGCCTCAGCAGGCTCCGCACTGCGCTTCCGCTTCACTCGCAGCACAGCTGTCTTGCCCGCCTCCATAGCGGCTGTCGCAGAGAACTGTGGGAAGGCGCGGGGTGTGACGGGAGACTTCAAGTTCCGTCGCGGGCCCCGCCTCCGGCACGCTCCGGGTCGGGGAGGGTACAGCGTGGTGCGGTCCCCGCACTCTGGCTGAGACCTGATGGCTGTGACCTCGAAGGCAAAGCGAATGGTTCCCGCGGCCGGTGAGGCGCTGGGGGTGTTGGGGACGCCTTTGGAGTCTTGGGTTCAGCAAGCATCTGCTCCTCAGCCCTATGGTTGTGGCAAAGGGTCGTGGCGTGGGCGTTCTCGGATGCCAAAGTATGCGTCAATTTGGGACTCTTGGGATCTTTTAAGAGTCCGCGGGGGGATGCTCAGAACGCCTTGGCGCACAGGGTTCCTGGGTGGCCGCGGCTCTGTGGTCCATCCGAGTGCCTGTCGCTTGCGGGGCTGAGTCTTACTACTTGTGGCTAGCGCTTAGTGGCAGCCGCGTAGCCTCGGACTGCAATACTAGTATGGAGCTCCAACCATCGCACCTCTAAATGGGCCACGGCTCACGGAATTGCGCATTCCTTGGCTTTCTCGCTCGCTGTTTCGAGAACTGGAATCGAGTCTATTTCCTACACTAGTCAGAGTGGTCCTGCAAAAGCGTACACTCAATATAGACATGCTTCGGCTTAAAATTGTTGGGTGGCTCCCAGTGCATTGAAAATAAAACCCAGGCTCGGCGCCTGTGGCTCAAGTGGCTAAGGCGCCAGCCACATACACCT